AATGGTAGGAGTTAGTCCATAGAAACTAGAAACGTGGTAGGAACAGTTTCGTAGGAAAATGGAAGGAGTAATTCGTAGGAAATAGGTAGGTAATGTTTCGTAAGAAATTGAAAGGAAAATGGTGGTAGTTTGGTAAGTATTTTCTTACAAATATCCTACCAATATTTCTGACAAAAATTTTCTAGCAACATTTTCGTAGAAATTTTCTTACTATTTTTCTACTTTTTAAATTTCAGACGGACGATAACTTACGAATAAAGTTCGTAGGAATTTGGTAAGAAAAAAGATTATCTTACAATTTTTTAACAATATTTTTCATAGGTTTTCAGGTTTTTTTCTTGTAGTAGTGGATCCATGAAAATCTGATCCCCATAAGAAAAACAAACTATGATATTTGGAACAAACATTTAGGAAAACGAAACTTGAACATAATTTGGATGTCGTGAGAGAACCGAGTATCACAGCTCTTTAAAGCTACATTTGGAAGTTCGGACGCCTGGAAAAATGAAGCATTTTATGTGGCAAGCTTTATCAGGATCTATTGCTACTTGCCAAATCCTAACCTACAGGCATATGAGAACGGATAAGAGTTGTCCCTGCTGTGGGAATCCTGAAAAATCTATTAACCATCTTTTGTTTTTATGTCCCTCGGTTTTACAAGTCTGGGCGTTATCGGACTTTATTTAGGCATGATAGGTCCTCAAAAAGATATTTATCCTTGGATCTTGTGGTATATTTGAAAAGATAAGAACGACAAGATATTCAACGGGAAAATTTTCCTGATATATACTTTGATCCACGCCAAGGTTGAAGCTGAAAGTTGGAAGATTGCAAACCAACCGGAAGAAGAAGAGGAGGGAGCAGACGAGGCTTTGCTGACTCCTTTGCTCCTGATTTCTCTACCTGATGCCCAGAGGTTCCCAATTTGTCAGGTTGATGCATCTTGGATAGGCAACGGCCTGGTTAGTGGGTTCGGGTGGAGTCTGAATGAGGAGAGGGGTGGTGAGACTTTTGGCCTTCAGGGCTATCGTAGAAGCTTATCAGCCCTTTATGCCGAATTGGAGAGCCTTTTATGGGCTATATCTTGCATAAAAGATAGACAAATTTTATCCGTACACTTTCAGACCGATTGCTCGGATCTGGTAAGCATGTTTGAATCTCCATCGGATTGGCCATCTTTCTTATCAGAGTTGGAAGCCTTCTGCATCCTTCGAGAAAGCTTCTTGGATTTCACTCTCTCCCATATCCCAGAAGTTCAAATGTCCGAGCGGATAGTCTTGCAAAAGGAGCTCGAGCAAGAGGCGGTATTCTCTTCCAAATCATTCATACCGAGCCAGCTGAGAACGGTTCCCGGACCAATTTCTTAACTGGCCAAATGTGATGTAATAGTTGGGTTGTTGAAAAAAAAAATTTGGAACAAACACATTGTTGAATCTCCTCATATTTTGTTATGACAAATTAAAAAATAACCAACAATATATATATATATATATGGCTGATTTTTTCATATGCACGTGGATTCGAAACTCAAAAGATGAATGCTTAGACGAAGTATCTTTTAAATAAATAAATATAAAATAAAAATAAAAAGAATGCAATCGAGATATTTTAGTGTTTAAGTCATAAAAAAAATCACATTGCAAAGTCTTTTTGCTATAGAAAGAGGGGTGCATGCTCAATGAACCATCTCAGAGTGAGGAGAACAAATACACCACAATCACTCCTTTCTAAAGTGTAAGAAGTGGCAGTATTTACCATGTTAAATTTTTCAAGGGACGTGTAGAAAAATGTAGAGAAGAAGTGGCAATCACTTATAGAAATCAAAGCTTGCTGATGGTCCTTGCATGACTGTGGTTTAGTGGTAAAAAAGACTGTGTGGGATATTACACTAATTTACCTAGATCGGATTCCCTTTAGAAACAAAAATACATTTGTGTAGGAAGTCTGAGCTTGGGCTTAAGGCCCAGGCAGTTAACATGGTAGTCAGTAACAGGTAATATAGCTATCTGGCATTAGTTGGAAAACATTTCAAACTCGAGATAGATAGTGTGGTAACCCGCTGAATCTCATAGATCTCTTGGTCTGTTGACTCTAGTATGTTTGGAACTCATAGTATTTGTTGAACCGTTGAACTAGAAAATCAGTCCAGTAACACTTTAGTGTGTTTCTACCAGGACTAACCAGATCAGCCGATGATAGTTATCATTCATCCGAAAGACAATTAGCATCTTTAAGGTAAAGATAAACAAGTGATGGATCTTCTAAGCTTTTTGAGTCTTAGCCACATGCATTAGCTTCTTCTCGACATCTAGGGGTTATCCAGTCCATGTCCCTGGCTTCAACTCATCTCCACATCTAGGAGTTTTCTAGACTCGACCACAGACTTCATCTTCTTCTCAACCTCTAGGGATTAATTCCCAAGTCCTAAGTCTCACTCCCAAGCTTCAGCTTCTTCTCGACATCAGGCTTTAACTTCTTCTTGACATCTAGGGATTCTCCAGTTCCAGTTCCAGTCCCAAGCTGCAGCTTCTTCTCCACATCCTTTGGTGCCATTGCTGGGATTGAATTATCTTCATTATTTTTCAGAATCATCATTTGCAACAGCAGCTCTAACTCCCTAGATATATAGATCAACGCTCCTCACAGTGTATATATCGTTCATTGCAACCCAACATATCACCGTTTTCACAACATCATTGTCATCAGCTAACATCCTTTTATCTTACGCGTCTACTGTAGAGGAAAACATATTATATAATGTATCTATACTCTCGCTATAAAACCTTATGTGATAACCATCTTACCCACGCTGACACCAAACTCGTCTCAAACTATATAGGTGTTCACACCCAGATTACTACAAGTCTATAGAGGAAGATGAATATATTTTCTTGAAGATATGTTACATATTGTACAACAGTATATATATATATACATATATATACAGGCTAATAGAAGAAGATCTTTATACAGAAATACAGATGATATTCTAACTCTAAGACAAGGTGTTAGATACAATATCAGTATCCATCTTCGTGTAGCCTTATACATCATAAATTCTGAAACTAAGATTTATTCCACTAGGGATTTGAAGGATTTTGGTTGAAATTAGGAACCTAAATCAAACTCTAACATTAACATAAACACTAACATAATTCGGCTTCTGAGTCTAAAAAACCTACCTCTAAAGTTCCAAATTATGATTTAGGGACTTGAAATTTCAAGTATATCTTAAGACTTGTGCAGCAAAACTAAGGAAACAAATCTTAAACAAAACCTATGATAACTGAACTTATACTCAAAGTCTCAAACAGTCAAACTTATATTAATTAACCTATAAGATCATGTACATCAAAGGTTCAAGGGGGGTTTTGGCACAAAAACATAGGCAAAGTGAAATAAATAAAAAAGAAAAAATTATATTTTCTTGTGAACATGTCTCTTAGCGAAGGATTTTATGAACCTCATTCTAAGAGGTTTGTAAGACATGTGTAGGTTGCTAATTTGTTTGTTCTCAAATATTAAACTTGGTATGTGCTAACACATCCATCTTTTGAGTCCCAGCGTTTTTTTTTAAGAATCTGTGAACCAGGTTCACTAATGGAGACATAAAATTCACACTGATTCTTCCCTGTACATATATCCTAAAAAATTATTTTTATATTTTTATAAACCCCAAAGAGGAGTTCACCAATGTACATGCTCTAACATTTTTAGGTGTTGATTGGTTCACCTCCTATCATCCGCAAACACTGCATTTGCGGTTGGTAGCGGTTAGTGGCGTTATATAATAATCATAGAAATCGCTGCAAACCGTTCGGTATTGTTTTGTACCGCTGAAATTCAAAAGTTGCTTCCCACAAGCGTTTGCGGTTGGGGGCAGTAGCGGTTAGGTTAATAATATAAAAAATTATGCTAGAAAAAAAATGAAAAATCACGTTAAAAACAATTTAAAACCCTACTAATTGTCTCCTATATATATATATATATAAACTCTAACCTATCACTTTTTCTATCAAGTTCTAGTCTCTAATCATGACTTCCATACCAGTTGAAGAAAGTCTAGACACAAGTATAAGTGCTATAATACTTTGGTTTAAGTGTCACTTTTTTGTTCTCTTTTCCAATTTATTAAATTACTATAAACAATTTTGGGTGATATTCCCAGCAATTGAAATAAAATATATTATTATAAAATTTATTAGTTTTTATGAATAATTATTTAGTATAATTTTTATTATTAATTATTTTAAACTAGTAATTTTGATATTTAGCATAATAATATAGTTTTTATGTTGTTTTATAATTAGATATGATGTTTATTTGATACTTTTATATTTAACCGCTAAAATATCCGCTGATTCGCTAGTCAAAAATGTCCTGCAAACGGATCCGCTTTACAAAGTTTAGCCAATTGCTCAAAACTGTAATCGTCCGCTTCTGTAAACTCTTATATTCGCAATCGCAACTGCTGCGTTTAAACCAATCAGACTCTTAGACTTTAGTATTTTTTAGGAATTTACTAAAATGAAACAACTTAGGAATATATATAACTTACCAAGCCTTTTAACAAAAAAAAAGGGAGATATTTTACTAAAAGTTTAAATTTGATAATAATATTAATATATCACTGGACCATTGTGATAATTAGACGGCCATTATATCGTCAACACATGGTAGGTCTATGTAGCTTTGCCTTTCTTCTGTAATAGAGGCTCGAATTTTGTTTTGTTAACAGATACGTTATTACTGTCGTTAACAGTAAATATATTAAAACGTTATCAATCTTTAAAAAAAAAAAAAAAAACTATTGTAGATAGGTTGTTGTTAAGTGCATTTGCCCAAAAAGAAAGAAAATGTAGATTCGTTCCAAAATAAACAGAAACACAAAAAACAATTCTTCCACTTAAAATCTAAAAAAAAAATGCGACATCCATGATTACGTAAATTTCCTAAGTTAACAAATAGAGAAAAAGTGGGTCTCTTATCTAATTACAACTGAAACATTTATAAAAGCAGAGAGGCTCCTCCAAAGTCCAAACAAACAAACCAAATTCAAAACTAAAACAAAAACAAACTTCTATCTTCTTCTTCTTCTTCACCATCAATGGCGACGGGAAAAACGTATTACCCACGGCCAAGTCATCGATTCCTTCCCACAGATCGATCTCACCAAGTCGCTGTCACCGATTCAGGATTCGAGTTCGATGAGTCCGATCTATACTCCGATTCGCATGATTTTCGTAGTAAACTCTTTAAATCCGGTCGAATCGGAATCAAACAATGCGGTAGATCGTCTCTGGTTACCGTAACAACCGCGAAGGTAGGGTCACTTCCGATGAACGTACCGGACCAGTCGAAGAATTGTCACAGACGCCGGACAAGCATCGAAATCGATGAGGATGGTTTAATAGACGGAGGAGATCGGTTAGACGGAGGAAGATTTCCGCCACATGAGTATCTGGCGAGGACGAGAATTGCTTCGTTCTCGGTGCATGAAGGAGTTGGGAGGACATTGAAAGGGAGAGATCTGAGTAGGGTTAGAAATGCAATTTTTAAGAAGACTGGGGTTTTGGATTAATATCTGAAAACTATAAGGTTCTTTTTGGGGTTAGGTTTAATTCTCTATTACAGTTTTATAAATAACTGTTATGCTGAAAAAAAAAAAAAAAAAACTGTTAAAAAGTGGCATAGATATTTCGAGAAATGCCCTCTTCTTTTTTTTTATTGTAATTTCGGAATATTGCAAAGCTTTGACGTTGATGAGATATTTTGGGAAATTTTTTGTGCCGGCTAATTAAATTCTTAAGCAGGAAGTTGATTGTTTGGTTTAAATTGTACATCAAAAATTCAAATTGGAAAATTCGTGCATTACAAATTTTGTAGGGTCAGAAACGAATAATATAGGAAATAAGGGTAAATAGTTTAGTTATTGGTGGGGTTTTTGGGTTGGATGTGGGTGGGATTGGTTAGTAAAGCAGAGGAAGTGGTTACAATTACATGAAAGTGACATATTTTTCTGAAGAATTATTCTCATATAACAAATAAAATATTTTAGCGTTTTCATGTTAAAACAAAATTGGACCGACTTCGAGAAAATAATAATTAAAATTGTACAAAATATCGTATTTCATTAACTAAAATTGGCTGTTTTAAGAATTTATTGTTCCTTATATCTCGACTTTTTTTTCCAAGCCAAAATTCAAGTAAAAGAGAGACTTTTTTCTCTCTCTGTTCTCTCTCTAAAATCTTTCACAGAGAAAAAGAGTGTTTTCTTTTTTTGTATTTCCGATCTAAATCGGATTTATCTTTCCAACTAGTGAATCATGTTCATATATCATCTAGTTGGATTAATAAATTTCCGTTTAACGGATTTGGTTTGTGTGTAGATCTTCTTAGATCTCATGGAAGTTCAATTATGATTCAACTTCTTCATCTTCTAGTTTCATCTGCTCATTTCAGCCGAGAGTTTTATCTCTCTAATTGTCCCCGATAAAGAAGCCTTTCATGGCAAAGGGAGACAGGTCATGAAATTTGGTGGAATAGCGGCAACTTTAAGGAGAAGAAGAATCTCTTAGAACTATAGGTCTATGAGAAGATCAAGGTGGAAGCAATCGGAAGGAGATGGAGTGGTACTGAAAACTTGTTCGGAAAATTAGCGTGCCCTTGCGGTGAAGCGCGACGACGTGATGCTCGACGGCGATGATGTTAGCAACCACTTATCTCGTTTTCAACCTAAAGCTTACACGTGTTATATTGTGGCTTATCATTATCTTTTAGTACTTTGGAAATAATGATGGGTTTGTACTGAATTTCAATAGGCTTCCGATTTCCACTTGTTGTAATTGCCCAAGCGGGCTATCAATATAAGTTTGTTGACGTCAACAAAAAAAAATTGGCTGTTTTAAGATTTCTTGTATGCATTTTTTTCCTTGTTACAACTCCATAAATATCGTTTGCATATGCATCGTCCACGAATGACTATATGCTTTAAGATATATTGACAATTTTCTCAATTTTACATATATGATTATGTGGATATTTATTGGAATTGAAATGGATTATTTTATAAGATTAGAAAATCAGAAGTTGTGGAACGGAAAAGATGTAATGGTTTTGTTGTTGGGGTTTACATAGTGAATAATTTAATAAGTTTATTTTATATATATTGCTAGAGTATCACCATTGGATGGATGATGAAACAAAATGTGTAATTGGTGAATAAACAAATTTCAGAACCTATATATCCTAGGGAGTGTCTGTTTATTCCCATAAACTAAAACAGCCAAAATGATTTGAGTTAAAAAATTTTTTTAATGATTTGATTTGAGTTATTTAAACATTAGTTCATTACTACATATCTATTTTTTTATAGAACTCAAAGGTTCAAGTTCTAAAGATTTCGGTGACAGTAGGCGATGAACGAATATTTCAACGTTCTTATGTGCATCCAAATGTGGTACCTTGTCCCACCAAATCTCATCTAACAATATTGGAGATAAATGTTTTTTTTTTGGCACAAAACGATGGTGGATTGACTGCTAAGTGCTAACCACCGGACATTAGACTTAACTTCCAGATTTGATGTGGTTTTGGCAATAGGGAGACATGTTTCGTACGAGCAAGCTGTTTCATTGAAAGTGTTTGCTGACTCTAAAGACAATAACAACAACAATAATATTCATTGTCTTTCTTTCTTGTTTGTGAATTGGTGTGATCTATCTATCATCTTCTTTGTTGTCTCTCTCAGAGAAGAGAAAGAGAGTGACCTGTTAGAATCTCACATCGGAAGTTTAAAAGGACTAACACTAGTATATAAGGGATTTGGACCTCTCCACTTATCGCCAATTTGTTTTAAGTTGGAAGTTCATGAAACTTAACATGGTATCAGAGCCTCGTTTGTTGATCCAAGAAGGGTGGCCCAAAAAAGAGTTTATTATCGGTCCTAAAGTGTGATTTGGTTCGAGATGGGCTGATAAGAGCCATCATCTCGAGGAGGCGTGTTAGAATCCCACATCGGAAGTTTATAAGGACTAACACTAGTATATAAGAGACTTGGACCTCAATTGGTTTTAAGTTGGAAGTTCAGGAAACTTAACATGACCAATTAAAATTCTGCAAAGAGTATTCCTTACTCATTTTTGGTTAAGTTAGGTGTTGTTTTGGGTCTTTACTTTGTAATTTATATATTGTTATTACATCTATTAGTTTTCCCAAGTATTCCCACTTTGCAGTTACATCTCCTTACAGGTATACTATTCGAACAAAGTAGCTTATATACAAGTATACCATGCTTGTATTGCTTCTACCAATGACCGGTTCGTTAAAATGCTTTCCTCGAGTCAATTCGAAACCATGTGATAGTCGATGTATCAATATGTTGTTCTTCTGTGAAACACGAGGTTATTCACAATGTGTATGGGTGCTAGTGTTGTCATAGAAAAAAAAAGAAAATTAGTTTTATAATGCCAATTGATTTAGAAATTGTCTCTTTAATGTTTTCTGAAAAAAAGTTGTCCTTATAATGTTTTATTGAAATTTTTTCCCATTATACCCATTATTTCGAATTTTTTAATTAATTAAATTTTTATATTAATAATATTTTATAATTAAAAAATATCAGTAGAAAAGAGATTTTACATCCTCATCCACACGTTCTTTTTCTTCTCCATCGACATCATCGATACAATCTCCTCCACCTACACAGTCTTCACCGGAAAATCAATTTCTGGTAAATACACAATCAGTCTCTCCCTGATTTCCATGAACCACAAGTTATATAGATATGTAGTATGTTTGAAGCAAAAGACACGTAAACCTAGAGAAATTCTCCTGAATCAATGGGAAGAGGAAGAAAACGATGAAGTCAAACAAAAAGAAGCAACTTCGTCAAAAACAAAGAGAGAAACGTGAAAAAAAGATTTCAAAAAAAGAAAAATCGGGAAGATAGCTAATTTTCCTAAATTTTATTAGATTTTGGTAGCAGTTGTATTCTACCAATATGTAGAACATGGTCTAATAAGTAGAAGAATTATTCTACTAGCATGTAGAACTTGGTCTAATAAGTAGAAGAACTGTTCTACATTAACGTAATACTTGGTTAAATATGTAGAATTAATGTTCTACAATAACTTAGAACCTTGTCTATTTGGTAGAAGTTTTATTTTACCAACACATAGAATATAGTCTACCCGATAGAACTTGTAATCTACCATAACGTAGAATATAAAAAGGAATGTAGAAAACGATTTCTACAAGCTGGTAGAAATTACAAAGATCTATAGAAATGAGATTCTACGTAGACTTAGAACGTAGAAGACGCGTTCTACCATGCCTAGAACGAAATTTAAAAATATTTTCTTTCCTTAAATGATATCCAAAAATATTTTCCCTTCTTATTTTGGAATGTTCGATATATATATTAAATTATTTTAATTATAATTACCATAACTGATTTAAAAGGGTAACTATGTCAAAAAGTGACAAAAAAATACTAAGGGACAATTCCTAAATCAATTAACATTATAAAACTAATTTTCAAAAAAAAAATGGTTGTGCTTGATTAATATGAAGATCTTAGAGCATGATTAACTTGGTATCTAACAGGATATCTTAAGATTTATTTTATAATTTTTTAATCAGTTGGTTTTAAAATTTTTTAGGGAACGTCTCTTATTTTGCGACCATAAGAGACCGTCTCTCCCTCCACGTAGCAATTCTTCCAAATTTAATAAGAAAAAAAAGGCTTAGAGATCCAATTAGGATATATAGCGATAATCATGGTCTTAAAGCAAATTTCGCAACCAAACTACATAAACAAGGCTTTTATACTCTACTTCAATAAAGGAAATGGAAACAATCTTATGATCAATAAACATTACATACAATACCAACTAACATACCTTACGAGTTACGAGTCATCGGCTCGAGCATTGTTGTGGGCTATTACAATGTCATCACATATACAAACACTGCTAGAAAAACGCCATCAATAATTTTAGTTAACAAGGTATGTTCATGAGCAGATTTGCAAAACCCGGCCAAAGCTTATATACTTTTAGAAAAGAATCAATGTGGCAGAGTCAGAAACTTTCTTCATTGGAGGCAAATGAGAATATATGATATTATGAGTGGGGACATTGATATTAAGCTTTAATAAATTATACCAATTTTTTAAATTCATTGGAGGCAAAAGACCCCAACTTGTTCCATGTATCTCCGCCATTATATGATTGGTTTTGGTTAAATGACTTTGAAAACTGTTGAAAACTACAAGACTCCTTTCAGATTAAATGTCGTTTTAAGGTTTTAAATTTTCATATCATTTTCATGTATTAATAAGAGATATAAAGTTATGTAATGTATAAGTAAAGATATAGATGTATAGTATAATTTTTATTAGGTTCTTTGAACGAGTGAAAAAATCCTTAAACAATATATTTATTAGAAATTTCAGATAGAATAGACTGCTCAAAAAACAATTATGATAATTGTACAATATTTCAAATGGACTCCAATTACATATAAAATTGTTTTTAAATGATTTTGGATCCTTGCTAAATACATTAATTTTTTTTGTTAGGTTATCAAAGTTCCGGTGCAAAGGCACTCCCCGCACATACTTAAATACGGTCCTGGATTATATATATCAATGTAGAAAAATTACATGTTACAGAGATAAACTCTTATCAAACGTGTTTGAAATCTGAACCCATTTTTTGTTCAGTTGATGCAAAAATATAGTTTTTGAAAAACATGGCTCCTAAATCTTAACTATGTTCAGTCTAAAGATTACGGGCCTGCTTGATAAGAACTTTTACTTTTAATTTTTACTATAGATTTTTAACTGTAAAAACTTTTGCTATTACTTAAAAAATTAAAAAAAATTGTTTGGTAATAAATAGATCTCAAAAACTGTAGAAATTAACTGCTAACTTTTAATTTACAAAATTTTAAATTTTTATTTTAAGAAATGGATTTCAAAAGAAAACAGAAAAAATTTTAAGATTTAATCAATTAAATTTAATTTGGAATTATTTATATATAAATCTATAAAATTATTTGAATAATTCTGCGAAGAGAATAAATAGATAAAGAAATTAAAAATGTATTTATTTTTGTTAAAAAATTTTCTAAAAGCTACTCGCACGTAGCTTTTAGAATTTATGACCAAAATTAAAAAGTTTGGCTTTTAAAACTTTAAAAGTAATCCATGAAATAAAATTGTATTTGGCAAAAATATGATTTTTAAAACTAAAATTGGTTTAACAGCCATAAAAGCGAACGCCCTACGTATCAGTTCAAAAACCGGTCTACACTAAACCACACCAAACCAAGCCTCTGATCTCGTGACTGAAGAATTAAACAACCGTGCAACTAGTCATAAGCAGCAAATCTAAACATTTTATTCGATGCGACAAAAACAATAATCTTAATTTTATTTTTAATTATGTCTCCCCGAGATTAGTTTTTTTTTTTCCTTCTTGGATCCTTTCTAAAAATTATGTGATTTTCTCATTTGTGCCTCTCCTTCTTCACCAGCATCAAATTAGGGTTTTTTTTCTGCGAGTTTTTGGCGAGTGCCTTAAGATTTTAGTGAATTGAGTTTGGGTTTGAGAAGAGATCTAATTAGCTCGCTTCTTCGTCATCATCGTCTGTTCTCCTACTTTCTTTCACCATGTTCTGGAAGTTGACTGCTCTCTCTGCTGCTTCTCCGGTGAGTAGGAACTTTTCTACGCATGAATTGGGATTGTTTGCGTCTTAATTTCACAGTTTTCTCTGAACTCTTCGTGTTCTAAATCGCTTGCCCCTTTCTTATCTGCTTCGTTCGTACGCGAAACTGAAGATGCTGAGAAATGTTTGAGATTTCGTTAATTTTCTGAACTGATGATGTTCGTCAGCTATAATCGTTAATTGATGATTTCTTCTCTGTGGCATGCTTGTAAATGATAATATATGGGAGTCAATTGTTTATCCCCGATATTGCGTCTGGATTTCAGATGACATTTACTGATTCAAATTCGTTGTTTTTTTTTTCCGAGAATGTTTTGTCATGTTAACTTCTTGATGCGTTTCAAGATTTTTGCTTTCGAATAGCTTAATAGTCCTCGTGATGTCTGATTTGGGTCTTCGATGTTGAATATTATGGTGGGAGACTGGGAGCTAGAATATCCGATTTTTTTTCAGTATATTTCATTTCTTGTGACGTTTTGAGGGAAATAGTATCATACGTATTTGCAATTTCTCGGAAGCTGTTTAAGTAGTTTAGAGAAGAGAGAAATCAGATAAGGAACACTGTTGTTGCAATGAATCGGCAGTTCTTATCGAGTTCTTCCTCTCGGTTTCCTTATCTCTTACTTGCGATTGACAGGTCGAATCCATATTAGACAAGGAAGATTTCACTTTGGAAGAACTCCTGGATGAGGAAGACATAATCCAAGAATGCAGAGCTTTGAACAGCCGGCTCATAAATTTGTAATTCATTTAGGCGTTGTCCTTGTAGTTATGTGTAGATTTGTTACATCTTCGTTTGTACTATGACATGTGTCTTCTCTCTATATTAACCATTCTTGAAAAGATTGAAGAAGCCAGCAGATATTGTGCAAAAGTAGATAGAATCACTGCATACTTCCTTTTGTTATATTTTTGCAGGATAACCCTGTGTATACAATGGAAGTTTTAGTTTCTCGTAGTCGTAGAAGGGTTGCGATGTTGGCCTTTTATGCTTTTTGTTTTGTATGCTCATTTGCAGTTTGAGAGAAAGAGCCCAAGTGGAACAGTTATTACGTTTTATTGTTGAAGAATCTCCTGAAGATGCTGATAGCAAGCGTGCTTTCAAGTATGTGCATTGTGTTTTTTAGAGATAACTTACCTAACCTTTGCTGATGAACTTTTTTCCAGATGTATTGAAGGCCTGATTTGGAATATTTCTGCTGACTATTTTGAACTAAGATTGATTAACCTTAAAGCATGTTTCTCTATTAGGTTTCCTTTCATCTCCTCTGAAGTCTTGACTTGTGAGATTGATGTTATTCTTAAGACTTTAGTGGAGGAGGAGGAGGTATTGTACTACTTTCCTTCTTCCTTAATTATGATGAATGTTTTTGACTTTGATGTTCCTTTCACTGGTCTCATTTGATGATTTATTCTTCCTGTTGCAGCTGATGAACCTACTTTTCTCCTTTCTGGAGCCAAACCGTTCCCACAGCGTAATGCTTGCTGGGTATTTCAGCAAGGTAATGTTTTCGTTGTACACTTTATTTTAAAACATTAGTTCTAGTAGTTTCTAAATTTTATGCCTCCACATGTTTATTACTTACCAACAATGTATCTTATCTCTTTTGGGTATAGGTTGTCATTTGCCTCATGTTGAGGAAGACGGTCCCGCTGATGAACTATGTAAAAGTGAGTTATATTTTGATGTATTATGAAATTCTTTCAAATAGCACGGAAAGCATGCTTAGTTCTGTGTGGCCGAAAGCATATTAAGCTGGATGTTCCTTCTGTCCTTGTGATTTTATGTGCCCTATATTTCTTTTTCTTACCTATGGTTATTGATAATTATACTTGGTTGATATAAGTTACATTGTGATCGTAGGTAGAAACTCCTTGAATAGTTCAACATGTGATTTAGACGCACCTTTTCTTTGGAACTTGTTGCTTAGTGAGTTATTGTCAATCGATTGAAAAGTAGTAATTAATGTTTACAATACCATCTACAGGCCCATCAGAATGTTTTCCAGCAACTGGTTGATTTGATAGGGATTACGTCCATTATGGAGGTAAACCGTCCCTCTCCTCTTATCCTTATATTTGATCTGGTAATCACTTTTAAGCTAATGTTCATGTGATTTATCTAGGTCCTAATTCGGTTGGTTGGTGCGGATGATCATGTGTATCCCAACCACCTCGATGTGATGCAATGGTTAGCTGATAGCAATCTGCTTGAAATGATCGTGGACAAGCTAGGTCCATCAGTAAGTTTAATTATTAAAAATTGTCTCTATCTCCTTCATTTTGCTATAAAGTTTTGAATATAGGAAGCATGGGCTTTTTGAGCTACTTTGTGTTGTTCTCTTCTATGTTATAATAAAATGTGGGATCGGTTGGTTCTTCATGTGGCTAGGCTGCTAGTTTTGGAGCTACTGAAAGTCGCGTTTTCTTAGATTTATAAGATAAATAGAGGATAGATAGAGAGACTCTCCTGTGCATGAACATCTATATATTATCATCTTCTGAATGTCTCAATGGAGTGAAGAGAACCTTCGCTGTAGTGGTTATTGTTTCAGTCAAACAACAGAACTTGTAATTTCTAATATGATCAGTTCTGATGTGAAGTTGCTGACATATTTTTTCTTCGATTTCTGTTTCTATCAGAATTCTCTCGAAGTTCATGCAAATGCTGCTGAAACACTGTGCACTATTGCTCAAAATGCACCATCACCTTTGGCTACGAAACTCTCTAGTTCAAGGTTTGCAGGACGTTTTATCCTCTTAGATATGCAGAAACATATTTTGTATTCAATATAATTTCAGTGATCTTTTTGTCTTCAGTTTTGTTGCAAGGATATTTGGTCATGCTTTCGGAGATCCCCAGTGCAAATCTAGCCTTGTCCACACACTTTCGGTGTGCATTTCGTTGTTAAGCCCAAGAAGATCTCTAGTTTCTTCTCCGTTTATGTATTCATTCAGGGGCCAACAGATCTTTGAGTCTCCAATTTCTGTGAATCCGGAGACTATTGCCACCATGCTGCCTAGACTTGGTTAGTATAACACAAATGACCCGTTATGTTCTATAGATGTGAGCATATTCGTTTCGTGTTTTTCCTGCTGATGATTTTTTTTTTTTTTTTTTTTTTTTTTTTTTTTTTTAAATCTTAACACTATATTACTTCTTTTGCTGATTGCTAGGAGCCAATTCTATGTTTTTTGTTTGGTTCATCCTAACATCTGTTAACTTCTTATACTGTTCGAAGGTGACCATGCATGTTTGCACAACGATGAAAATCATGTAGTTTTATTATTTGGTTGCTGCAATCTCTCGTTTGATGTCATTCCACTTTCCTATTAGTAGCTTCTGGGGATATGCTTTCTTCTTTTTAGCCTGATGGATTTGAGCTCTCATTCTTGTTGAATGTATTAGAATATGGCTCCTTGACTTTTTGACCACGTATCTCTGTACTTTCTTTAAAGGTTTTATATCTCTGGTGTAGGTGACTTTGTCACACTTTTAAACGTGACCTCTGATGAAAAGGTTTTACCTACAACCTATGGGCAGTTGAGGCCTCCTCTTGGTAGTCATCGTCTGAAGGTCAGGTTTCATTCTGAAATTTTGGTTTTTGTTAACTGGAAGTTCTGATTATTAAATGGACCCAGCATCAGATCTTGCAATTAAACATGTACATCTCTGCCCAATTATATTCTTCTGAATTTCTTTGTGTTGCTGATGGCTTGTCTTAGATTGTGGAGTTCATTGCTGTCTTGTTGAAAACACGAAGCGAAGCTACAGGAAAAGAACTAGCCAGCTCAGGAGCTATAAGAAGAGTCCTTGATCTGTTCTTCGAGTAAATACTTCTTCCCGGATTGATGACAAATTCTTGGTTTGTTTGGTAATTCACATGTCTATTTTTTGCTTGGCTAAATCCGACTTTTCAGTTCTATTTTTTTTTTTTCTCTTATGCAGGTACCCATATAATAATGCACTGCACCATCAGGTGGAGAGTATTATAGTATCGTGTTTGGAGAGCAAAAATGAAGAGATTATTGACCATCTTCTCCGCGAGTGTGATTTGATTGGAAAAATTCTTAAAACAGAGAAACAGCCAATCCTTTCTGGTGATAACCAGGTATGAACTGTTTCGCTCATGCTTATTGTTTTGCGTACATTCTGGTAAATATTCAGAAAATAATGTCTGAAACAGTTCGCCATATACAGAAATTAATTTTCCAGTTCTGTGAAACAAAATGTGGAACACCAGATTGTGGTTTGCAAAGAAATTATGTTCTAGTTAGATTCACTTTTCTTACGGATTTGATTGATTTTGATATCATGCAGCCAACAATACCTGCTACTGGAAAGCAGGCTCCACGGGTGGGAAATATCGGCCACATCTCAAGAATTTCAAACAAACTTATTCAGCTGTCAACTAACAGTAACCTGATAAAGACTTTACTTGAGGTTCGTTTTTCAGCACTAGTAACATTTTATTGCAGCAATTATTGCAGATTTACTGAATTTTACACATATAACTGTTAAATGACTGCTCGTTGGTGTTTGTGTATATATCTATTTGCTTGCATCTGTTGTACCACTCTGTTATCTGTACTCGTGGGAGTCAACCAGCGTAAATCACTTGGATTTTTGCATACCCATCAAGATGTATCCATAATGAAATATCCCACGTCGAATCTTGTGTACAAATGTTTGCATTTTGTTTGGTAAGAACAACTTTTTGAGGCGTACCGTTTCCTTTGCTAGGAACATAACGAATGGGGCGAGTGGGAAGCTAATGTGTTGCATGATCGAAACACAGCTGAGAATGTTTATCGCTGGGTTTGCGGGTATGCCTCGTCTCAAACCTTTTAAGTCTTCCTGTCACACCTATTTATGCAATGATCAGGGGTGCAATTATTTTTGTTTTTGCAAGGTTGTCTTAGAAAAAGCATAGAGCTATCATACCTAGTACAATTAGATATGATAACTCTATGTATAATCGTTTATTTTGTTTCTTGATAATAATCACTTGGCTTCTTTCGCATGCAGACGCCCGACTGCATTACATGATAGGACTAGGGACAGTGACGATGATGAAGCTCACGACAGGGATTATGATCTTGCTGGTTTAGCTAATAACTTGAACCAGTTCAGATACAACATGCAAGAGAACAATGGTGCTGGGGAGGTAACTGTTAGTCTCTCTGATTCGTTTTTCGTAAAAATTTGGCTGAATCTAAATTTCATGTTTCTGGTTCCAGGAACATGGTTCCAATGAAAGAGACGAAGAGGTATTCATTATAAAATATATTCAATGTTTTATATTTGAAGAAAACACTGTCTAGGGTAGTCCTGACTGTAACAAATTTTCTAGGATGTCTACTTTGATGACGAATCTGCTGAAGTTGTTATATCATCTCTAAGGCTTGGTGATGAACAGGCGAAGTAAGCTTCCAAATTCGATTTATACAACTCAAATATCTGATTTAAAAGAAAGAACAAAAATAGAATTATGGCTTTTAAAACCAATTTAATTGTTTTTTCTTTTTCTTGGTGCAGCAATTTATTCACAAACTCGAACTGGTTCACGTTCCAAGGAGATGAATTGGGTGAAAACACAGGAACAGGGGAGATTCCTTCAGAGGAAGCTATGGAAGATGTAAGCTTGAATGAAACTTCCGGTGGTGGAGATGATGAAGAAGAAGAAGAAAAAGAAGACGAAGAAGAAGAAGACGGTTTGATTACAGAAACCAAGAACCCTTTCTTAGACACAGCCTCAACCTCAGAGCCAGTTTCTGTAGAAACCCTACCTGGAGATATCGAGATTGACGAAGAAGATGTGGTTTCAGATGAATTGTCACCGGAATGGGCTAAGCGTGGAGATTCTTCTTCATCAGCTGCACAGGTCAAAGATCAGGAAAACGACACGAAGATGCCTGATGTTAGAATCCCAAACGGTTCTTCATCCTCGGAAGGCGAGATTAGCCCGAGATCACCGCCTGTGCCTTCGTTGTTTGGCAAAGACGTCGAGTTCGTAGGCGTGGAGCCAGAAGGAACCGAAAGAGCGATGGAACAAGCTCTCAAGGAAGGGATAGTGGGAGAAGCAGGGCCAATGAAGAGGAACAGTGCCGCCACAGCCTCACCGGGTAAAGAGAGCTCTGATGAGAATATGCAGCAGGAGTATAACGATACTAACTACTGGAAAGTTGATCAGGAGGTGGCTGTGGTTGAATGAATGTGATGTGACGTGGCATATCGTTGTCTGAAAGCTGACGTGAAAACTGAAGTGGCACATTGATGTCTGAATGATTCCCGAGTTGAAAGGGAAGAGAAACTCAAGGAAGGTACTTGTGAATGTACAGTACTACTAAAGTCATTGTCTCTTTTTGTGTTTTGGAATATTTTCAACAAGTGAACTGATTTGTTCGTTTAGGGTTCTCTTACAAAATTTGGATGCTTTTGCTATATGTCTGTCAAGGATCTATTTTACTTACTTTGATATCACTTTTTTATTTCTTTTGGTACGTTTTGATATATTTGATTAAAATTGGGACTGTTGTTGTAAAAACTTTCGTGATGTTCTTGGGTAATAAAAACTCTGAATTTTAATGTCTGCGGATGATTTTGAAGCTTGGTAATAATTTATTTCAATTGTGTTTCATACACAGGTAAAAAAGGAAACAATAAAGAAAACACGTTAAACGTTAAAATTACTTTTCAAGGAAAAAGAAAGGAAATACAACAACAATAGATGAACGTTAAAAAGTGCTTTTAATAAGAGAATGAAAAAAAGGAAATAACTACAATGAAAAAAAGGAAAGATGGTTGCATTTACGCGTATAGTAATTAGTAATAATAAATTATTACGAAAAAACTAAAATCTAACCGTTACTCAAATTGAAATAAACCTTGTCCTATAAATACATGAACATACCCATCAAATCCTCCACAATTTAGTTTTCCACAACAATCTCTTACGTCTCTCTCTTCTTCGATTTTCTCTCTGTTTCTGTTGAATTTTTTCAGAGAATGGAAACTGCAGCAGTAAGTGTAGATGTGTTCGCAAGGGCTTTTTCTCAGGATCCATCTCTAGGGTTCTTAAGCACTGCGGTAATTTCTCTAAACCGTGAATTCGAGGAGTTTCTCGTAGACGAAAACGGTGGTAACGTCTCATCTCTCGGATCATACCCTGCTTCTAATTCTCGTCCCGACCGAGAAATCTCTCTGAAACTCCAGAATTTCACACCGAACCATATCTACAAACATCTCCAGAATCGATTTCACGATCATGTTTTGTCCCGACAAATATGTGATCGGATGGTTGTCGAAGCCGAGAAGCAAAGTCAAAGTGTTCCCTTGTCCATGGTGGTCTCTGTGAAACTGACTCAGAAAGTTTTCATCGTCGTGCCTTGTAATTCAACGACAGATTTTGAAACAGAGAGTTGTGTTATATGTTTTGAGAATCTGTCCGAGTCAGAATCGGAGACTAAACCCATATGCGAGTTACCTAATTGTCCTCATCGTTTTCATGAAGAATGTTTCTTGGAGTGGTACTTAGATCGACAAAACAATTCATGCCCTCTCTGTCGCCAATCTATTTACTAAAGTACAAGCAGAGCCGTGTCTATGTTATGGATTAGGGAACATGTTGAAGTAAAATCAAATCTCGTTTTTGCAATGTCACATTTGTATTAGTTATTACTTAAGAGTCAAAAATTGTCTTTTCCTAAAGTTGTGTCTTTTCAATTAAGAGTCAAAAATTGTCTTTTCCTAGCGTAACAAGCAGGGCCTTGTTTATGTTATGGATTGGGAAACATGTTGAAGTATGATCAAATCTCGTTATTGCATTATAGTTTTGGTTTTGTATAAGTATAGATCGAGTCAGTTTTTTGTAATGACAAGTCAGAGAATAATACAATTAAGTTTGATTACATTCATATTCTGTATTTCCTTCTTTTTCTTCATAACCGTAAAACACCAAATACAAAACACCAACAAAATTTGTATGTTGTTATTTTTTAGTGATCATGATCTTATTTTTTATCTTTTATTTTAATCAAACATTATATTATAAAATTAGGTTTTTAAAAGAAAATAACCTGAAAAAAATAAATTAAGCAAAAACTACATCGTCCAAAATCTACTACCAAATTTATTCAAAGTAAATTAAAAATTATATATTATAAATTATAATTTGAGATCATATATTGACAAGTTCATATTCAAATTTCAAAGGTAGGCTAGTTTTGGTCTGACCAGTTTTTTTATAATTTGAGATTACCTATATATTGATCAGGTTGTTGGAGGAAATCTTCATAAATAGGTTTAAGCAGTCTATTCAAGATCAAGTGATCCGGTACAGACCAGTGGGGATTGATGAGTTAGTAGACACCGCGTTGATCATAGAGGAGCAGGAGAGTCGTGATGAGAAGGAAAAGGAGTGGGAGCACCGGGATCGGTTTAAGCCAACGTTTCAGAGGGTTAAATCAGCTCCAGCGTTACACTATAGCTTTCGTTTCTCGGGATCAAACTCTCACCGATCACCCGAGAAAAGGAGTTCGGAGGGTAACTATAAAAGCAGGCCCAATGTTTCCGATAAGAAGAAGGGAGAGTGCTGGAAGTGTGGGGATAAATGGAGCCCAACGCACAAGTACAAGGGTAAGGAATTCAAGTACCTGGCGGTCAACGAAGAAGGAGAGATCGAAGGGGAGCTTGGGAATGACCTAGAGGATCAAGAGGAGGACTCGGCTAACGACGAAATGAAAGAACTCTTGGTGTTGTCCTTGCAGTCTATGTCAGGGTTGACACCAGGGAGGTCGATGAGGCTTAAAGGGGTGGTTGCAGGACAAGAGTTGATCGTGTTTATCAACTCAGGAGCAACGAGCAATTTCATTTCCTCGGAAGTGGCTAAGAGGTGTGGATTAAAGGTTCAGAAGACGCGAGGGTTCGGAGTCTCCATCGGCGATGGACAGATCATTCCAAGTGAGGGCAAGTGCAAACGAGTGCCATTGCAAATTCAAGAGGTAAACGTTCTCGCTGACTTCTTGATATTCGAACTGGGAACTACGGATTTAGTACTTGGATATGCCTGGTTGGAAACTCTGGGGGAGAAAAAGAACAACTGGAAGTGTCATACTATGATCCTAATGCACGAGGGAAGATGGGTCATGCTGGTTGGGGATCCATCGTTGGTAAGGTCACAAGTTTCTTTGAACTCGATTGAGAAGGTAGTGCAGGATGCGGGAGAGGCGTATCTGTTAGATTTTTTCACCTTGTTTGAAGGAGATGTCAAGGGGGCAACCTGTACACAGGATACGGAGGTCCTCAAAGTAGTAGAGAAGCATAAGGGAGTATTCCAAATGCCTGCGGATTTGCCACCACAGCGTAACAGGGAGCATGCTATTACCCTAAAAGAAGGTGCAACACCAGTCAACCTGAGACCTTATCGATACACCTTCATACAAAAGGATGAGAACGAGAAGTTAATTCGGGAAATACTACAAGCGCGGATAATACAACCGAGTATTAGTCTCTACTCGAGTCCGGTGTTATTGGTGCAAAAGAAGGATGAGGGATGGCGTTTCTGCATTGATTACAGGGTGTTGAACAAGCTTACGGTACCCAATACCAGTTATTGAGGAATTGTTGTATGAGTTTCAGAGAGCAACAATCTTCTCCAAACTGCATTTGAAGTCGCGGTATCACCAGATAAGAGTTCAGAAGGACGATGTGAAGAAGACGATCTTCAGGACACACGAGGGACATTATGAGTTCCTCGTGATGCCTTTTGGGCTTACAAACGCCCCAGCCACTTTCCAGTCAGTGATGAACAACATTTTTTGGGAGTATTTGCGGAAGTTTGTGCTCGTGTTCTTCGATGATATTCTCATCTATAGCACCAGCAAGGAGGATCACTTGAGGCATTTATAGTTGGTTCTGAAGAAGTTGAAGCAGCACCAATTCTATGCGAACAAGAAGAAGTGTGCATTTGGGAAGAAGCAAATATCGTACTTGGGCCATATCATTTCGGGTAAGGGGGTAGCAGCTGATTCAGTGAAGATAGCTGCTATGAGTGCTTAGCCTGAGCCGCAGAATATCACAGAGCTGATGGGTTTCTTGGGGCTAACGGGTTACTACCGGCGTTTTGTTCGGGATTATGGGAAAATTGCGAGACCGTTAACTGAGTTACTACAGAAGAATGAGTTCAAATGGAGCTCTCACGCGACAGAGGCTTTTCAGCAGTTGAAACAGGCAATGACTTCTTTGCCTATTCTGGCATTGCCGGATTTCAAGGCGCCTTTTACGGTGGAAACTGAAGCGTCTGGTAATGGGGTAGGGGCAGTGTTGTCTCAAGCCAACAGACTAATCGCGTTCTTCAGTCAAGGATTCACGTAGAAGGGAAAGATGAAGTCGGTGTATGAGCGTGAGTTACTTGCCATAGTCTTGGCGGTCCAGCACTGGCGCCACTACCTTGCGTGCCAACCTTTTACCATCAGGACTGACCAGAAAAGTTTGAAGCACCTGTTGGAACAAAGGTTTGTTACCAAGGAGCAGCAGAAGTAGGCAACAAAGCTGCTGGGGCTGGATTTTGTTATTGAATACAAACCGGAAAAAGAGAACAGAGTGGCGGATGCACTTTCGAGGAAGGTTAAACCCGTTCAGTTGTTGGAATTGATTTTCTCAGCACCTCTTTCGCTTGACATGGTGGCGTTGAAGGACCAAGTAAGTAGAGATGCGATGCTGCAGAAGATAGTGTCGGGGTTACAGCAAGGTTCCTCACAGGATTCACGATACACTCTAAAAGACGGTGTGTTGTACAGAGACAATTGTGTGGTGTTACCATCTGGATCTCCCTTCATTTCAATATTGTTGCAGCAGTTTCATTCTAGTAGTACTGGGGGTCATGAAGGGCAGCTGAAGACGTACAAAAGGTTAAGTAGGGAGGTCTACTGGAGGGGAATGAAAAAGGATGTGGTGTGTCATTGAGCAATGCCATACCTACCAGCAGAATAAGTACTCGACTCTCAGTCCGGCTGGTTTGCTGAACCCCTTACCTGTTCCGAAACACGTTTGGGCTGACATCACTATGGATTTTATAGAGAGATTGCCGAGGTCATTGGGGTATAACTCGATTCTTATTGTTGTTGTCAGGCTGAGCAAGTTCAGCCACTTCATCAAACTGTCTCACCCTTTTACTGCGAGGGATGTGGCGGAGAAGTTCATCTCTGAAGTGGTGCGCTTACACGGGTTCCCAGAGTCCATTGTGTCCGATCGAGAAAAGGTTTTTCTCAGTAATTTTTGGGTTGCTATGTTCAAGTCTCAAGGCACGTTCTTGCGCAGGAGCTCAGCCTACCATCCGGAGACAGATGAGCAACAGAGGTCATGAATAGGTGTCTCGAGACCTATTTACGGTGTTTTGCTGGACAAAAGTCGAAGACTTGGGCAAAATGGCTTCCTTGGGCAGAGTATTGGTACAATACCTCCCATCACTCTGCCATTGGAATGACGCCATTCAAGGCCTTGTATGGTCGAGATCCGCCGAAGCTCTTACGGTTCCAAGACACCCCGACTAACAATGCCACGGTGGAGGAGATACTTAGGGATCGGGATGCCCTGTTGGAAGAGTTGCAACCCCACATCATCCTGAAGGCTCAGCAACGCATGAAGAAGGCTGCTGATAAGCATCAACGAGACCTGGAGTTTGCTGTGGGAGATTGGGTATATGTCAAACTCTGACCGTACAAGCAGAAATCAGTAGCTGTTCATCTTAATGAGAAGCTTGCACCGCGGTTATTTAGACCCTATGAGATCTTGAAACGCATTGGACCAGCTGCACATCATTTGAGGCTCCCAACTGGTAGCTCAATCCATCCAGTATTTCATATTTCCCAGCTTAAGAAGGCGGTTCCTGCTGCGTACACAGCGCAGCCCATACCACAAGCTCTACAGGCAAACTTGGAGTGGATGGCAGAGCCTAAGGCGATCACGGCTATACGCCGCGTAATAGACGGTTCGAAGGCAGATGTGTTGGTGGAGTGAGAAGGATTGCCTGACTTCGAAGCAACATGGGAGTTAGCTGATAAGATCCATGAGCAGTTTCCTCACTTCCACCTTTAGGTGGCTCATTTACAGGGGAGTATTGATAAGCTTGGAGTACCCTTGGCATTGATGAGGAAGAAAGCCAGAGATTCGAAGAGAAGAAGCAAGTATGGGAGTCGTCAAAGTGGCTAAGCAGGAGAAGAAATATGGAAGACGAGAGGCTTTGTCTCATTTAGAGTATTTTTTTATGTTGAGTAATAATGTGAGTGATGTGTATTTTGTTGGTCAGTGTAGAGACTATTTAAGCTAAACCTTATCTTGTAAAACATTTATCTTTGATCACCTAAGATTACAGAGGCTAGGTTTGTCCTCAATGTCAAACCATTTCTCTACTCTTTCAGTGTCTTTCTTCTCTAATCTCTTTTCTATTCTTAATCATCAAGGTTAATCCATTTTAGTATTAACATTTTTCTTCAGTAAAAAACCAAAAGCTTAATCCTCGGTTGTCCTCTCTCTCTTATATACTCCATGAATCTTCAATAGATAGAATATTTATTTTCTTATGCATATATCTTCAGCTCATTCTATCCAGTGCCGGCTCTTGGCATGTGCTAGCGGTGTTGTTGCACTGGTTCAAAATGTTTTTTGCAAATTTTAGTGAAGATTTTTGGGTCATTTTTGAAAATTTCAAAATGTTTTTGAAAAATTCTACATATTATATCTACAAAATCAAATTATTGTACAATGCCCATTTAAAGTATGAACCGGACTTATTCTATCGATATTTTTTCACCACCACGTCAGAATCTTCTTGTTCCACTCAAAATTTGCCATGTCACCACATCTACTTAGCTTCACAATACTATGTTCAAGATGCAGTTCTCTGTTGCTTTCAGAAGATAGAACACATCCATTACAGATTCAAGAAGAAAGTGTTTACTTTAGTCTCTTTAGCTCGTGTAAGCAACTTCAAACAATCAAACATTTTGTATTTTTGTTATATTATCGATTTTCATCATAATTATACCCCATTCATGGGTTTCGATATTTAACTCTTGGGCCCATGGATCACAAGCCCATTTCAGAATCTCAGAACTATTGGTTAAAACAGAATTATAGAAAAGTAGACCTCTCTTAGCTTTATATGTTCGAAAGTCTCTCGAAACTCGAATAAAAAAAACATTCTTCCACAATTCAATTGGAGACGAGAAGAGAGAGAGAATCTAGAGAGAAGATGATAGAGGTGGTGCTTAACGATCGTCTGGGAAAAAAGGTGAGGGTGAAGTGCAACGAAGACGACACAATCGGAGATCTGAAGAAGCTCGTGGCGGCGCAAACCGGAACCCGACCCGAGAAGATCCGGATCCAGAAGTGGTACAACATCTACAAAGATCACATCACTCTCAAGGATTACGAGATCCACGACGGCATGGGCCTCGAGCTCTACTACAACTGATCGAAATCCTTAATGGTAAACTCCGAATTCCAAGGAATTGTTCTCGACTTTTTGAGTTAATTTAGGGAATTTTGATGATATTGGTGGATGTTTGGTGAATTTGAGATTCAAATTAGTTTTTTTTTGGCTTAATGGTATAAGATTTAAGTCTCTGTAACTAAAAATTTGAAGGAATTATTGGGAATTTAGGGTTTAGGGTTGATGATTTATGTGAATGATTTGACTTTGAGATTGCTTTTTTTTTGTTGTTAAAATTAAGTGTCTATATAACTTCAAATTTGAAGGATTTTTTGAGAATTTAGGGGTCTTGGGTTGATGATATGGTGAATGATTGGAATTTGAGATGCAAGATTCTTTTTTGTTAATGGTATATGATATAAGTGTCTATGTAACTCCAGATTTGAGGAAATTATTGGGAATTTAGGGTTTCGGGTTGATGATTTAGGTGACTGATTTGAATTTGAGATGCAATATATATATTTTTTTTTTGTTAATGGTATAAGAAGTAAGTGTCTATGTAACGTCAGATTTGAAGGATTTTTTGAGAATTTAGGGGTTTTGGGTAGCTTAATTAGGTGAATGCTTGAATTTGAGATGCAAGATTGTTCTCTTTGTGATTGATATTGTTTCTTTTTTCTTGAATTGTTTGGTTGGATTTGCAGGTGTTTAATATGAATTTGAGGAGTAAGGATTAAAGAATGGAAGAAGTGTTTGACTCGATTCTGCATGAGTTTTATTCAATAATGATTTAACAATTACGAAAAATTCATATTAAAAAATGTAAAATAAAACATAGTTTGTATCTTACTCTTATCTGATGCTATGATACTAGTTCAAATCGAAATGCAGAATGTATTGATATATTCACAAGAGAAAACAATAAAAAAATATATCTGTTTTTCGGAATAACGTGAAATGGAACCTAAAAGTGTCCCAAGACAGAGTAAATCCTTATTTACTAGTACAAGTCTGATACGAATCTCAATTTCTGAAAACCCTCAAAACCAAAGCTAGTTCCTCTCCCATTTGATTTCCATAAACTTCCGATGAACATTTGAGTGGAGGATTGATTTGAAACCGGGACTTGAAGGAGGATAGTTCCCGCACCTTTTGGACTTACTCAATAAGGGTGTGTGTTTCTCATCCCGCTTTGTAAACAACTTTTTTTTATAGCGTCAACTTCATAATCATACAAATAAGCCGCGCGCTCTTGAAGCACTGTCTTTTTCATCTATGTCCCTTGTTTCTTGGCCATTTTGGTGCAAAATTCTGTACTCTTGTCATGTGTTGTCTCTTAGTTTGTCTTCAAACTCTTGGTAATCTTCAAGCTAAAACACATTAAAGAACAAACTTTTAGTCTTATACTTTTACTCACACTCAAAAACAAAAAGAATGACTTGAACTGCTGAAATGAAACTCACTAGTGAATTTGAATCTTCTATCAGATTATCAACCGAATTAGTGGAGTTTGTTCCAGTTCTGTGAAAGGGATCTCAAGTTTCGGCATTGCAGCTTCGAGATCTTCTTCTTCATGTACAACGACATCCTTGTGTGCCATCTTTGGTTGATGCATGTTAATAAGTCACCATATTGCGACATGTATTGTTGTTAATTTGGATAGTGAAATGTATTAAAATAATACGTAATATAAACTTTTTAATTTTTAATTAATTTAATAAACAATTGTTGTTTAAAAAAAACAATAAAAATATGAACCAATCAGATTGAATCCATGAATCATTCTACTACGTTCAGATTATAACATGATAAAGCATGACCAAATAAATAACTTTACGTGCTAGAGCATGAGGTGAAGCGATCATTATAAAACATGACATCAAACTTATCTGAGACATTGGAGAGATCGATAACCATGCCGAAAGATTGGAGACTACGTCTTAAAGAACAGCGATCTAAAATCTCCTTATTGGAATAAACCAAAGTTGGATACGTTAAAAACATACGAGATGATATATCTACTAGGGTTTTGTTCAGTAGTTAAGGCTTCATGTTAATAACATATTGTGAATATTTTTGACCAAAAAAAAACATATTGTGAATAATAAGAAAGAGAATATTATTGTGTGTCTCACTCCATTACCAATATATAATATATAATATATATGTTTACAAATGTTTGGAGAATACAAGTTAAACTTTGACATTGAGCTTGCTTGGCGTAGGTTGTAGAGACGGTTTAACCAGTTTTAAAACTTTTTTTTGCTAAATAAACTTTTTTTTTTAATATCAAAGTCCTAAAAGTCAGATTTTTCTCTTTGATTTTTTTTTTTTACAATTCTTTTTGGTTATAGATCCTAAAAGCTACGTAAGAGGAGTTTTTACACAAAAAATTAACAAAAATAAATACATGTTGTGAAAACTTAGAAACTTTATTAATCACTGGAATGTATATATAGAGTACATAGGGAATCTAGGTTAAGTACAATGCCCTGATGGGCCTAATGGGCCGGTATAAGAGTCCATATACGATATGTGTTATAACACTCCCCCTTGGACGAGTGAACCGGGTCAGCTACTCAATCGGGATCTCGATAATGCGCTGGGGAATGTTGCCTCATTAAAACCTTACGAGGAAAAACCCAGTGGGACAAAACCATGGTGAAGGAAAAAGAGTACAACACGCATTACTCCCCCTGATTGTAGCATCACTGCAGATCTCTAAGTCTATACATTCCTATCTGTTTGACGAGCTTCCGGTGTGTTGAAGTAGGCAATGATTTGGTGAAGAGGTCAGCTGAATTCTCACTGGATCGGACCTGCTGAACGCTGAGAGTGCCGTCCTTCTGCCAGTCTGAGGTTGAGAAGAACTTCGGTAGAATGTGCTTCGTCCGATCTCCTTTGATATATCCTTCCTTGAGCTGAGCTATGCATGCCGCATTGTCTTCATACATCACCGTGGGCTGTGTGTCTTCGTCCATACCACAATCTCTGCGGATGTGCTGAGTCATGGAGCGCAGCCAGACGCATTCCCTACTAGCCTCATGAATGGCTAGGATTTCAGCATGGTTTGATGAAGTGGCAGTGAGTGTCTGCTTCATTGATCTCCAAGAGATGGCTGTTCCTCCATGCGTAAAAACGTAGCCAGTTTGAGACTTGGCAGTGTGCGGATCTGATAGATATCCTGCATCGGCGAAGCCGACTAACCCATCTTTATTTTGGTTAGTATAGAAGAGTCCTAAGTCTTGAGTACCTCGAAGGTATCTTAGGAGATGTTTTATACCGTTCCAGTGCCTCTAAGTTGGAGATGAACTATATCGAGCGAGGAGGTTCACGGCGAAACATATGTCTGGTCTAGTGTGACTAGCCAGGTACATTAACGCTCCTACAGCACTGAGGTATGGCTTTTCAGGACCAAGGATTTCTTCATCATCCTTTTTGGGACCAAGAAGGTCATCACTTAAGCTTCTAACTACCATTGGGCTGGTCAATGGGTGAGCTTGGTCCATATTAAATCGCTTGAGTACCTTTTCGATATAAGCCGATTGATGCACAAGGATTCCTCCTTTGATGTACTCAAGTTGTAATCCCAAACAGTACTTTGTTTTGCCTAGGTCTTTCATTTCGAATTCTGCTTTTAAGCAGTCGACTGTTTGGGAGATCTCACCAGATGTTCCGAGGATGTTTAGATCATCCACGTATACTGCTATGATTACAAATCCTTTGTTTGAGTACTTCTTGATGAAGATGCATGGACTGATGGGGTCATTTTTGTAGCCTTCTTTGATGAGGTAATCGCTGAGGCGGTTGTACCACATACGCCCACTTTGTTTCAGTCCATACAAGGATTTGTTCAGCCTGATGCAGTATTGATCTCGAGATGCATTTTTGTCTTTTAGTTCAATGCCATCTGGGAGTCTCATATATATTTCGTTGTCCAGGGGCCCATAAAGATATGCGGTTACAACATCCATTAACCGCAGATCAAGATTTTCTCTTATGGCCAGACTTATGAGGAATCGGAATGTTGTTGCATCCACCACTGGAGAATAAGTCTCCTCATAATCGATTCCGGGTCTCTGTGAGAATCCTTGTGCTACAAGCCGTGCTTTGTATCGAACGACTTCACCGAGTTCGTTCCTTTTGCGCACAAAGACCCATTTGTGGCCCACTGGCTTGATGTGTGATGGGGTCCGGATGATCGGACCGAACACGTTTCTGAGTTTGAGACTCTTTAACTCCACGTTTATGGCTTCTTTCCATTTTAGCCAATCTGTTCGATGTGTACACTGTGTTATTGACGTGGGTTCTAGATCCTCTTGCGTGAGCGCAACATCAAGTGCTACTTTGTATGCAAAGAGTGCATTTAAGTCGACTTCTTTTCGATTCCATTGTATTCCAGACATATTGTAATTGATGGAGATCTCATTGTTATCTTCTGAACCTGGAGATTCGGCGTCCCGAACTTCCATTGAGGGTTCATTAGATTGAGTCTCAGCCGCGGCTATGTCTGATATTGCAGGAATCCCGGTTTCGGTTATTGCACCTTTCTTTGATTTCCGAGTATTCTTATCTTTGGAACCGAGAGGTCTGCCCCGTTTGAGACGTGGTGCAGACTCTGTAGCAACTTGGGTCTGTCCCGTTGGGACAGCTATTCGTACTGGTGCATTACAAGCTGGGATGTACGATTTGGTTACTTTGGTCGGGTCAGCAAAGGAATCTGGCAATTGATTAGCTAGCTTTTGATAATGAATAATCTTTTGGATCTCTGAATCACATTCTAGAGTCCGAGGATCTTGCCAATTTAATGATGTTTGATTCCATGAAAGATCTTTGACCAGCTTGTTTGTCTCACCACCTAAAGAGGGATATACCGATTCATCGAATTGGCAATCCGCATTCTGGCCTTGAAGAGATCTCCAGTGGTTGGCTCGAGATATCTTATGATGGTGGGAGAGTCAAAACCAACATATATTCCCATCCTTCTTTGAGGTCCCATTTTGGTTCGATGTGGTGGAGCAATGGGTACATATACTGAACACCCAAATGTTTTGAGATGGGAGATGTCTGGCTCATGACCCGAGAGTAGTTGGGATGGGGAATATTTGTGTTCACTAGATGGCCGGATGCGTATGAGTTCAGCAGCATGTAATACTGCATGTCCCCATGCTGAGGCCGGGAGCTTTGATCTCATGAGTAATGGTCGGGCTATCCATTGAATGCGTTTAATGAATGATTCAGCCAATCCATTTTGAGTATGGACATGTGCTACAGGATGTTCCACGGTTACCCCCATGGCCATACAGTAGTCATTAAACGCTTGTGAGGTAAATTCACCAGCATTGTCAAGGCGGATAGTCTTTAGTGGGAAGTCAGGGAAATGGGCCCGCAATTTTATGATTTGGGCCAAGAACCTAGCGAAGGCTTGGTTCCGAGAGGACAAGAGACAAACATATGACCAACGGGTCGATGCGTCTATAAGGACCATGAAGTACCGGAATGGTCCGGAAGATGGATGTATAGGTCCACAGATATCGCCCTGGATTCTTTCTAGGAAATGAAGTGTTTGTTTAGAGATTTTAACTGGTGAAGGCCGAGTGATCAATTTGCCTTGAGAACAAGCTGTGCACATGAGATGTTGAGGATAAGCTCGGTTTTCTTTGAGGGTATGCCCTTGAGAGTTTTGAATTAGTTTACACATCATATTTGCACCGGGATGACCGAGCCGGTCGTGCCAAATAGTATAATCAGTAAACCGGGCTTTGAGAGTGGTATTAGCTTCAATCATACTGACTTTAGCATGGTAAAGTCCAGTAGAGAGCGCGGGTATGGTTTCGAGGATTTGTTTATGGCCGTCTACGGTTTTAGTGACTAGGAGGGATTCTTTGTTCCCTTGACCTTGAGTTTCTATGTGGAAACCATTCTGTCTTATATCCTTGAAGCTCAGA